TCTCCTTATGCTCTCATGTCCTGTGCAGCTTGTACTGAAGATATCTGTGTGCTTTTCTCCTGCTCATCTGTCTTTGTCAGTTTAACTGTCGGACCCAGCCGGGGACCCTAGGAGGCTTGAGGAAAACTTTCCCCTCCCTACACTAGATGGAAAGATTTCCGCTTTTGGAATCCAAACAGATGGCCATCCCTCTTCCCCATGAATCTGCCGAGTGACGGGGGGCTCATGACCACCAGGGCAGCTGCTCTGTGGTTGACCCATGGCACTCGGTCTGAACCAGGACCGCTGTGTGGCGAAGGGTCCCCTCACTGGGTTTCTGAGCCTCGCGGGCCAGCTGTTCTCCCATTGAGATGCAGCTGTATGTTCATCACGCCATCAAGAGATCAGAGAGTAATTCTTATTTCAGATGCACTTGTGGGAGCTAGACTCATGGGTCTGCCCTCCTGGTGACAATCACCTAGATTATCTTCCTTCTAAATATTTGAGTTTTTCTTGTAATATTATAATTTTCCTTTGGAAGAAATAGGACTTCATTAATTTGAAGAAAATGCAAACACTTTCAAGATGTCAGAAATCAGATTCTGAAATACGTCAAAGTACCCCCGATCTATTAGGAATGTGTGGGTATACTGTAAGCTGTTCATTTCCTTTACGTTTTGTTTTGAGATATTTCCCTTTGGCTTAGAGGGCTTCGACGCTGTGTTCTGTCACCACGTGCGAGTCATAAGTGGCAGGGAGAGAGACTGCCAAGCTCCTGGCAACCACCCTCCGCTGCGCAGGCAGACTCAGGAAGTAGCAGGGATGCTCATATCAAATACATTTCAAAAAAAGCCGGAATGGTCAAAATCAGGTTGAACACTGCGTGAGGCAGTTAACGTTAGAGAAACAGACATCCTTAGCTTTTTAGAAAAAATACCTCCACTTGCCCCCTTTGTTCCCATTTTCACTTTCCAAAACCGGCTCCCGATCTACTAGCCTCCATCAAGGGCGGCTTCTGAATGTGGATGGGTTTGGCAGAAGTCCAGGGGGACGCGGGGGTCCTGGGCTGGGGAACCCACCGGAATGACCTCAGTCAACTTCCAGGTGAGGGAACACGGCCATGCTGGTCTCCAAACCCCTGGTGCACCAAGGAAGCCCTGGGGCTGCTGACAAGACAGAGGGGTTCCCAGAGGTTGTGGCAGGTGAGCCTCCACGTCCAGGTTCCGATTGGGGACCCGAGGGCAAATGATCAGGTGGGTGGAAAGGAAGGAGCCAGCGTTGTGGTGGTGGGCTCGCTGGCCCTCCCCACCCCCACTCCGGGACCCATGACTGCCGCCCCACCCACTGCATCACCAGCAGCCCACCCACCGAGGCAGACCCCCCACCCCGTGTTAGAAGGGTGGACATCCCGAACGAGTAGAGGGCGATTCCTTCAATTTTCTGAACAGTCATCGTCACAAACAATCTAAGTGCAACTCAAGTCTCTGTGAGTTGGCTCAATCCGGTGAGTAGACGGCGCGATGTGACCAGCAGGGATGCTTGGGGACAGAGATAGGCTGGCAGGGAAATCAAGCGCCCTGCTTTGCCCACTTTGTGCAGACCTCCAAGTGCAGAAATGCGGGGCCGAGTGGGGCACAGTGAGCGTGCCTGTCTGGAGATCTAAATTTGGGGTCACCACCCTTGAATAAGTGACCCCTGGGGAGGCAGTACAGGGTGAATGAGAAGACTGTGCCTGGGGGCGGTCGGGGGCCTGGAGGTCAGAGCAGGGCCCTCCGCATGGCCAGGGTTCCAAAAACCAGCTGGACCGCCACGAGGACAAGGAACCTCAGTCCTTGTGGCAACCACGAGCCAGACGGCACTGAGGGCGGGATCTTCAAGTCCTGACAGGGCTGACGGGAGCGAGCGGGTGAGGTGCTGGGTGGGGGATACGCACAAATGTTGCATGAAGGGTTGCTGTGAAGGGATCTGGGGTCAGAGGTACCGTCTGGTGTCAAGGGGTTTGTATTCAGCAACGTGGGAAATACGCGGTGTGTTTGTTTGCTGACAGTAGAGAGCCAGAGAAGGGGGGCCTGGGGTATAACTACAGGGAGCAGCAAGGGCAGAGCCGGCGCCTCTCATGCTGGGGAGACCCAACACTCGTTCCAGCTGGTGGTTCAGACACAGGAGGGCGCAGGGCTCCGCCCTGTGCAGCGCACGTCGGGACCACAGACCGAGGGTGGCGGGTGCGTGATGCACACACACTGGGGGTGGCCGCGGAAGGAGGAGAACTTCAAAGTCAGTGTTCTGGGCAAGTACGGCAAGTGAGCGTCCTTGGACATGACCGTCTGGCGGTGTTGAGTGTTTGTCTGTGGTCTGTTGGCAGTGAGTTTGCAGTCCGTCAGCAAGGAGGGGATAGCAAAGCCAGGGAGACACGCCCGCCACCCAGAAATGGGGGGGCACGTGGAAGAAGACACACATTCACACTAAAGCATGGACGCTCCTGACAACATGCAGCCGTGCTCCCGATTTGTGGACAGACGGGGGGTGCACGAAAGGGGTAGTGATGCTGGTGGAGGTCCAGGGAGGTGAGGCTGAGCGCATTTGTAGGTCAAGAGAAAAGCGACGGTGTGAGGCTCTCCAGACCTCGGTGTGAAGCTTGTCACCTGGAACGGACGGAGATGGCTTGCTCACCTCCAACAAAACCCAATGCAGCTGACGAGGCCACTTTGTCTTGAGAGGAGACGGTGAGCCTTAACCCTCAGTGGACCCCAGCTTCCAGGGAAAGGGGAGCTCCACGAGGTAGGAGGTTTGTCTCTCTGTTCACTGCCGAGACCGGTCCCTAAATAGTGCCTGGTACACAGTAGGCGCTCAGTGCATATTGTCAGGATGAACGAGTGGCACGCCAAACTGCGCAGAGTAGGCGCCTCTCAGTGCAGACGCAGGGAAACACTAAAGAAAACACATCCACTTAAAACCACACACAACTAAGACCAAAGAAAAGGAAGGTAATCTCCAGATTCCAAAAGCAATAGAGAAATAAAGACGTGACGTGAGGGGGCTATTACAGTTGCTCTCGGAAGTCTGCGGCTTCACACAGGCCCCGGGTGTGGGGCGGGCTCGGGCGTGGGCTCGTGTCCTCATGAGGACCACGTGCACCCCCGGGGGGGGGCAGAACCTGGGAGAGCGGCCGCGTGGGAAGTGGCCATCGGATGGCGCCACGGCCAGCTGTGAGGGGCCGCGAGCCAGTGACCCTGCGAGGCGGAGACTGCGAGCACCTCCTTGGACAACAGAGGACACGGAGTCCCGTGGGGAGAACGGAGCCTGGGCGGGGAGGGCCTCGCCTCACAGCTCGGGGGCAGAGACTTGGGACAGGCGAGCAGACCAGCGGGAGGGAGGCAGGGGCCGCGGAGCAGGGTCTGGCCCAGACGCTGGGGAGGAGCGAGGACACAAAGTCGCAGCTCCTAGAGACCCTCCGAGTCCTCAACAGGCCACAGTTCGGGCTTCACGGAGGACAGTGTTTGCTGTCACACTCCTGGGAAGGCCGCGCTCCACAGCAGCCAGCCCGTGGCCTCAGCCCCGGTGGGTCCTCTCTTTCCCGAAACCACGGGAGGCCATGTTTCCCTCGGAAGAGGAGCCCTGGGGTCTCGGGGGCGGGCCCCACAGCACACACCCCCAGGGCAGCGCAGCCGGCCTCCCACGCGGCCCACGGACCCTCGTGGGCAGAGGACTCGCAGCACCAGAGCTTTCTTGGCCAGCAGCAGTGGGGACGCTCTCCCCGGCCACCTGCCGTGGGAACGAGGTGGCACCAGAAGGGGTTCCCGCCTGACGAGGATGGGACGGGACAGGAAAGCAGGGGCAGCACATCCAGAACCTTCCATCACGACTCCGACCCGCCACCCCGTCGGGGGGCCTTTCTGCCAACGGCCACCGCGCCTTCCCTGGGCTTTGGCCGCTCACTACCTGCCGAGACCACCGCCCGCTGCAGCGGGGCCGAGTGGACGTCCCGGCCTGATGCACGCTCCCGGCGGGCAGGGAGAGCACCAAACCAGCAGAGTCTCGGTCCCGTCAGGTCTTTGCCGACGAGTTCCGCCGGGCCCCCTGCGCTCCGCCCGCCACATCCCTGCAACAGAGTGTGGGGCCACTTTCCCGGCAAGACTATTCCTACCCACCTACCACTCGGGAAGCACCGGAGCCCGGCTGTGGAGAACAACTAATTAAGCACGTTCTTACTTCAAGGGCCAGGACTCCTGGCTGCCGAACGGGAGATTCCCCGAGAAAGCGGCTCGTCTCTGAGTGGCTCTGCGGAGGACGTCTCTCGGGGAGCAGGGAGTACTCATAAATAAGCTGCCCCGTAAGAGCTAATTATCTGTAATCCCGAGTGCCGTGAAATCTAAACTCTCAACCGCAATGGCACGATTGGTCTCGGTCCGCGCTGTCTTACGCGGGGCCGCACACCGCTCCTGCGAGGAACCACGTCCGCTCTTCTGCCTACAGGTCATTAAATTGCCCCAAGACGGGGAACGCAAGCATCGGCCAGGCTTCCTGGAGGTGACTGACATCAGCTTTAATCGCTGATGGAGCGTTTGGTCAAGTGCCTGTCTCTGAAGCCAACACGGCCACGTGAGGGCCTCACCGCCGCTGTTGGACGAAGTCACGCCACAGAGCCTTCATGCATGCATGGCGCCCTAAGCCAAACGGGCCCGCCGGCTCCCCCGAGGAGAGACGAACCTCCCTCACTGGCTCATGCCTACACATGTAGCAATTACAAAACCTCTGAAAAGGAAGCGTGTGTTCTCTGAATGGCAATGTTTTCCTGACGCAGGACTGTTTTCTCTCAGGGAGAAAAACTGACCTATGATCGGTCCAAAGGCAACCCAAACCAGCGTCCGTTAGCCGGGCGCCGCGGATGGGTGTGTTCAAGCCACACGAGGAACCAACCAACTGGCCTCCCCTAAGGCAGCATGCCGTCACCTGGCCTGTCCGCGGGCCTGCCCCCGGCCGCCGACCACGCGCATCTCGGAGGGCAGCCCTCCGCTACTCACCGACCCACTTCCAGCGTGAAGAATTTTCAGTCCAGACGCCTTTTCCAGTTTGTCCTTGTTGTCAACTGTGAGGAAAAGTTAAGAAGTACAGGGTCAGCGTGCAGAGCTAATTGTTCTCAAGTCACCCTGAGCATTCCCCTCTACCAGAAACATTCCGTTAAGTCACTGCACGGACGGCCTGATTCAGCCGCCGAGCTGGGAGCCAGTCTGGCTGGTGCACCCGCGCGTGAGGCCCTGCTCCCCACCAGAGGCGACGCACGGGGACGGCCTTCCCGCGGGCCTTCGGCTCCATCCACAAACGTCATCCCAGGAAACCCACAGAACTGTTGTGAAAAGTGCACGAGACATCGTATGCAGACATTCTTTGCAGATGGTAGAGTCTTACTTTCGAATGATTTGCTGGTTATTCAGTGTGTTATCACTGGGAAATGCGTGTCATTAACCAGCGTCCCGAGCTCACAAGACTCACTGGAGGGCCAGCCTGAGCGTGTGCACGCACCTCTGTGGGCTGGGAGCTGTTCTCTGCGCTACCCGGCCCCTAGAGGAAACATTCCACGACAGTTTAGCTCCAGTACCAGCCTCGTCCTCGTGTGCTCTTGACTTAGAATGAGGAAGACCTGCAGAGGATGGATTACCCTCCAAATCAGACCAAGAGAAATGCGCTCTGGAAACAATTAGCAGATGTGAATGAAAACTCAGTAATCCTAATAGCAGCACCGCAAACCCACCTGCCCCCACTCTGTCGAGAAAAAGTTGTGTCGCAGAGCAATTGACCTTGGCTCACAAATCTGTAGAAATAGTCTTCTGGGTAAAGCCCACGTCACTTTGGAAACGAAAACCAGGAAAAACGGAGTTTTACTGCAGACCCTAAGAATGCAGAGTGCCTTCGAACCATGAGAGACTATGGACTCCGGGAAACAAACTGAGGGTTCTAGAGGGGAGGGGGTGGGAGGATGGGTTAGCCTGGTGGTGGGTATTAAAGAGGGCACGTTCTGCATGGAGCCCTGGGTGTTATATGCAAACAATGAATCATGGATCACTACATCAAAAACTAATGATGTAATGTATGGTGATTAACATAACAATAAAAATTTTTAAAAAAAGAACGCAGAGTGCCTTGCCATTGTGGTTAATGCCGAACGAGGCCAAGAAAACATCGATTACTCCACCCCTTACTGTGTCCGCCCCCGTTAATCTTGGGTGACGGCATTCTATGCTGTGCAGGGATGCCAATGAGATCCCCTTACAGCCCACTTGCCTCACCTGGGGGCCTTTCGTTGTCTTGTAGAAAGTTTTTCCCTTTGAACAAATGCACATTATTTTTACGTGCAGGTAATTATCCCCACACTGAAAGGATGAGGCAAACACACCCCTGTCTGGTTCAGAGCCTCACGCTCGCCGGAGCAGGTGGAGGGCGGGGCAGGGCGGCAGCCCAAACGGAAACCCTGAATGGAGGAGGACGGTCTTCAAGAGCGACAATACAAAGCAATCGATTTTAATGTTCTTCTCTGAACAAAGGAAACGTTTTGCTAAATGGCAAGCTACTTTTGGGGGGAATAATAGTGAACTCTAAAATAGGCTGAAGAACAGAAAGCACATGAAAATGGAATTTAAAAAGTACTCCGTTTGTTGCCACAGGGCAGTGACCGGTATTCCAGCCGGCCCAATCACAGCAACGTAGGGAATGCGACCCCAGGGTCGGCAAACCTGCTCCAAGGGGCAGGTGGAGACCTCGAGGCTGGGCGGCCGGGGGCTCCACCCGCCCCCCAGTGAGGAGGCTGCGGGGACCCTCCTTAAGGGAACCATCCGGTTGTGTGCCAAGGACACGTCCTGTCGAGGCAGCGGGCGCGTATCCACCCGCACGAGCAGGAGGCCGAATGCTGGCCGTTCTCTGCCCGAACGCCTGCTCGTTCACAGGTCTGCCGGGGAAGTTCGGACCCTCCCGCAGGGCAGACAAGCCCTCCCCTCGTGTCCGCGGACACACGCAGCCGTGCCGACCAGTCCCGCGGGCCCAGGCGCTCCTCCGAGCCCCAGGCCCTCGGGCAGGCCCTTTCCCCGCACCAGAAATGCACTGCTGACCTCAGCTTGCTGGACGCAGCGTCACCTGCCGAGCACCAAGCCCCCGGGTGCCAGAGACCTTCCCGGGGATTCCCGCCCACGACCATGCACGTCTTCGAGCTGCGCGGTGCGGGCTCACCACACGCCCAGGAACCGCCGAGCCGTGGTGTGGATGCCCCGTGTTCCCACCGCCCGCAAACAGGGACGCAAATGCTCAAGTGTGCAGAGAACAGTAAAATGTAGTGATCGAGCCAGCTACTGGGTCCTTCCATTTTCAACGTCACTTAAATGTGTGTAAAATGTCATTTTTCACAACTGGCTCACAAAATCTCTGGAAACATGGCAATGAGCCCCAGTAAGCGGAGAAAACCGGCTCCACCCCGCTGTGGAGAACTCTGTGCCCAGGTGAGGGACCGACGCGTCCTGATTCCCTGACTGCCTCACGTGCGGACACGGCACCACGCCACGTGCACGCTGGTCATCAGAGCCCACCTGAGGAGGCCTACGCCTTCCCACTCCTACCAGACGTTTTCCACTGGCACCTTCCAGCCAGCTCCAGAAAGTTCTGGAAGGGACATCGGCTGCCTGGTAGGCTCTCTGCGAAACGCTGTGTCACCAACACGGAAGGAAAACCACGGGCACCGTGCTGGGAAGTGGATCAGGGAAGGCCCGGCCCGTGGCTTGCTCAAATGTGTGTCTGCCGTCCGCACAAGCGGACCTGGGCTCTGGGACGGCGCATTGGTGCGCACAAAGTGACCCCGGGGATCAGAAAGCATCACGTTACCGTGTCATCGTGGTCTTCGCTTTGTCGTAAAGCGAAGTCATGGCCTCTGAGACTCGGTGAAGCCGCGGGGCAGGGCACCTGCCTCCCCTGCTCAGGAGGCACCACCGCCCAGGGCCTCTCACAGCTGCCTGACCTTTTACAATGGAGCTCACTCAGTTCACACGATCAGCAGTTGAGCCAAACAACCTGAGCCAAGCAAACGACGCTGCTTCCAAAGAGTGGAGGTTTTCTTTTTCTTTTTAAGATTTTATTTATTTGAGAGAGAGAATGAGAGAGAGAGAGAGAGAGAGAGAGAGCATGAGAGGGGGAGGGTCAGAGGGAGAAGCAGACTCCCCGCTGAGCAGGGAGCCCGATGCGGGACTCGATCCCGGGACTCCGGGATCATGACCTGAGCCGAAGGCAGTCGCTTAACCAACTGAGCCACCCAGGCGCCCAAGAGTGAAGGTTTTCTAGTAGTAAAGGTGGAGGGGCTGGTTCACCGTCCCAGACTAACCCAACTAGAGTGTACGTCCAAGTCCAAATAACCAAGTCCGTAATGAAAATAGCAGTAAGACTGCTGCCCGCCAGGTACCGAGGACGCGCGCTGCTCATACCAACCTCATTAATCCTTAGAAGTAGCTGGGATTTAAATCATGTGGTCTCCATTTCAGAAATGGGGAAACCGAGGAAGCCCAGTGGGTGGCGCTGCCCAGAGCCGCGGGCAGGTCTAACTCAGGTGGTGCGGACCCACAGCGCGGGGGGCTGCGCGTCCGGGGGGAGGGCACGGAGGGGTGGGTGTCTGGCGAGGACCCCCTTCCCGGCTTGCACACCACTGCCTCCCAGGGGTCCGCTTGCACGTGACGGGGGGGCTCTCCCTCCCTCTTCTTACATGGACCCCAGCCCTGCTGGATTGGGACCCCACCCTTGTGACCTCGGTTGACCCTTACTCTCCCCGTCTCTCCAAACACAGACTGGGGTAGCGTTTCAACATGTGCGTTTGGGGGCGCCCCCGGCCCCAGCTCAAGGCCAGTCACGCCCAGTGACACCTCTGCAGGCTGACCTGCCCTGAATCCACGCCCTGCCAGTGGGCCGGTGGGGAGGCTGAGGAGGGAACCGGGGTCTCCCGCAGTCCGAGCAGCACAGGCAGGCCTCTGTGGAGCCACGGTGCTGAGGGGGCTGGGGGCCTCCGGCACGGCTCCCCTGAAGCCCCGGGAGAGCCCTGCGCCGGGCTGAGGCTCCCAGGACTGCCAGGCTCCCCGGGCACCCTGCTGTCCCCATCCCCCTTCTCTGTGCTCCGCGGCCACACCTGCCCCTGGGGGACCGCCGTCACGTGGCGGCCCCAGCCTGCCGCCGCCGGCTGAGCGGGGCCTCTGCACGCTGGGCGCCCGGGGCTGGCCTCGCTGCTTCCGTGGGCCACCGGTCTCCACCCTCAGAAAGACACAAATCATGCTGAGCTGCTGGCCCTAAACTCGGCACGGACAGGCAGCCTGCCGCTTCTTGTCCAACAACATTTCCCCAGTTTACGCTTCCAAGTCCTACGCGAACCTGTTCTCAGGAGAGTTTCTCTCCAGGGCGGAGCCTGGAGCTGCACACGCGGCTCAGGAGCGCCTACTGCCCCCTTCGTGGGTCACTACCGGCCACGCCGCAGGGCGGTTTCCACCGCGTCTTCCACCGCGTCTGCAGTCTGACCGGCTGTGGTCCCGCGCATGTTACTTCGCCTCACCTGGCCTCAGTTTCCCTACGGAAACTGCATCAGAAGCCTCAGGTCCCGAGCGGCGGGGAGGATGACGGTGCCATGCACACCCCAGCTTGGCACGCGGCAACAGTTCACCACTTGCTTTACCGAATGTGTAGCAGCCGCCGTCTGCTTGCTCACTGCGCCAAAATGCCAATACCCTCTGGTCTCCAATACGATCAGTGTGTTGACTGATGCTGCTTCTGTTTGCTGCAGAGGCCGAGCGAATGTGCTGGGTGACCCGGGTTAAAGTCTGGCTCCTGCGTCAGCGTCACCGTCTGCCTGAAGCCCTTGTCTGAGCTCCGCTTGCCCCGAGAGCCACACGGACGCCCGTCCTCTTCCGCACGACGCACCTGTTCTCTGCTGCTTTCCCTCGGGATCCTCTGCTCCGTCCACCACCCCTCATAGTGAGGACTCGAGATTCCTCAACTTCAGACTCGGTAAAACTATCGTTTCCTGGCCTTTCCAGACCTTTGAATCAGAAAATCCAGAGGTGGATCTGATAATCT